CGCCCCCCCCCCCCCCCCCCCCCCCCCCCCCCCCCCCCCCCCCCGCCCCCCCCCCCCCCCCCGCCCCCCCCCCCACGGGGGTTTTGTTGTTTACACATACCGGAGTGAAATATGATGGCGAATATATCTTGGCATTAGGTATGTTTTAGTAAATAGAAAGCCATGGGTCGTATCGATGCAAATCGAGTACGCTTTCAAAAGCCCTGGCAGCTCCTTTTTTCCCCCTTCCTTTCCTTACAAATGAGTTCGCGCCGGACGTTACGTGCTATTACGTACAAAACACCCAAGCGAGCATTCCTTCTCTGGAGGCTCAACCGCTACGTTGCCCGTCATCACCCATCACCTCAGCGAATGTCTTTTCCCCTAGCGCCAAGTACATCCCCCTCCCTCTCTCTCAGGCCGAATGCAGCATTTCCGCGGGAAACACTTTCTCTTTTTGTCGAAATGTCTTCCTATTATCTTACTAGCATGTCCTCTGCTCCTTTTGACAAAAATCTCTTCTTGAACTCAACCAGAAAATTCATAAACCAACACTAATGGAAAAAAGAGAGGGCGTAGGTATATAAAACGACTTAAAGATAACTCTCACAGGGCTAACCAATAAGGGGCTTATGCGGGGTTCGCAATAATAACACCTACCCCGCGGATAGATCGTACTTTTTTCCCTAACTTCTCCACACCCTCCCTCCTAGGTACTCCTTTTGCTCCTATCTACATGGTAGTACATATCATGTAGTAGGTCAGCCCAGCCCAGGATCTTCTCTCACTTTGGAGAAAACAAAAGCTCCCTAGGTTAGGGATGGGATGCTACAAATCTGTAACCTTGACCAAAAAAAAAGCTTGATATATCCTTATCAAAGACGGATCGGAACCGTCCGATGACTTTTTTTTTAATACCCCTTAGATACAGCACGGCTATCACGGCTTTTGTGGTTTTATTTTATTTTATTTCATTTCATTTTCCAAGATTCCCACGGGACATCTAACAATGTAAGTTACTAGCAAAAAAGATGGATGTATTTCTACATTTTTGCAGGACACCGTTGCAAAGGTGGTTTAGTTACCTCTAGGTAGGTAAAATAAATAGTACACCGTAGTGGTATATACACACATATATATATATATCGAGTTTTCTCTAAAAGCTCTAATCCTAAGCATACTACCCCTCGCTGACGAAATCACGATGGATGGAAACCCCATCCGTGCGGACCAAGCAGCCCGGGGAAGTCTCCCGCCGTCTTCTCCGCCAGCCAAGCGTCGTGCGTTATCTGCATCGCGTTGTCGCGCACCGTGGGATCGAAGTAGCGCTATATAGTTGCCGTTCGCCGTTCATTAGCAAAGAGAAAACTCGACCGGCAGGCGTGGAAGAAGAGGAGAGAAGAGAAGAGAATAAATAAAGTCACTTGAAGTCATGAGAACAGCGAAAGGGGAAAAAAAAAGAGAACATACCCAGTCATAATCATTCGGTATCGTCCAAGGAGAATCCGATATACCATTTGCGTCTATAATATTTATATTCGTTGTACCTGCTGTCGCTGACGTTGCCGCGGCGCCGAAATCAGCAAAGTTCTCGATCGCAGGTTCGCTACCGCTGGACATAGTCGGGGGACCGCCGCTGCCGCTGCCGCCGTCACTATTAATCGACAAATACGCCATGTCGACCCCGGGGTGGTTGTTGTCGTCGTCGTCGGTGATGTGGAGCTTAGCCTCGATGCGCTGGATGATGGTGCGGACGACCTCCTCGGCCTTTCTGAACTCGGTCGCGTCGCCCGCCATGTCGCGCCAGATGGCGTGGGACCTGCGGAGCAGGTGCAGGAGCCTGACCTTGGTGTAGGGAGGCGACCGCTTGCATATCCAGCTCGGGCTGGTCGGCTGGTCCCAGTAGCTGTCGTTCTGGATCATGATGGACAGCACCATGTCCGCGAGCAGGAAGTCGTTTACGGCGACGAGCGCCGCCACGAACCACCCCGTCTGCTGCAGCATGCCGCCGGGCCGGGTGGCTTCGTGCATGGTATTCTGGAGGTCGAGGAGGGCTAGTGCCGCCTCGAAGCATATCCGGCGGGAGTAGTCGTGCTCCTCTTTTTGCACGGGGTCGGCGAGATACCGTCGGTGGAGAATACATCTGCTCTTCTGGTATATCGATGCGACGCCAAACCGCTGGATAATGTGGACGGGCGAGTCCATAACGCACTCCTTCATCGGCCTCATCTTCATAATTATAGGTATGCTGTTCCACGTCTCTTCGATGAGAGAGTCGAGCTTCATGACCTCGGCGTAGCTTGGAACCGTAAGGGCATGCGCTTGCCGGACGACTAAGGCGAACACACGGGTTACTTTTGCCTTGTTGATCGGGTAGGTAAGTGTTGTGAATTCCGTTTCGGGGCGGGGTGGGGGTAGCTCCTTGGTGTCCTTGTCAAAATCGGCGTCCGTCAGATGTGATGGCAACTCCGTGTCGGTCTCGATGCTGTGGATCATGCTAGGTAAACCTAGATTGTATGCAATTAGTAGTTCGATTTGGAGAGCAACGTTCCACAGGCGCCGTCGCATCTCGCCATCATATGGCGATATATTGGCCAATTTACTCGGATCGCGATGGAGTCCCATCTTTAGCATAAGTCGGATTAAGACGGATGTAAGTAGGTAGGAGTTCATGCGATTGTCACGGTTCGTCATGTAATCTGCTTCGACGTATAATAGGAATGCCTGAATCGTATAAAAGTTCGGTTGGGAATACTTTCCCCAGATAAGAGCCCACCCAGCAGCACCCCTATACTGCCTGAACCTATCCATGATTGGCGTAGGGGAGTCGTTCAATAGCTCATGCGGCGCGGAGAACGAAGAGAAAAACACGCCAAGTGCCAAAATCATGTAGAGGATGGCTATCCAGTTCAGGGGTGCTCCTTCGGGATCTTTACAGAACTCATTGTATTCTCTTAAGAATGTAGGAACGTGGACAAGGTCTATGTATAAGTATGAGCAGTGAAATAACGACAAAAGAGAGGGTTCGCTCGAGAACGGTCGAGCGACGGCTGGAGTAAACTTACGTTGAGCGGGACTATTAGAGTTGAAGTACCGATTAATCAGACGGTCAACAACAGGTTTCTCTGGCAGGACAGCCAGTAGTTCGGACTTATCCCTCGGCACGCCCCGTGAAAACATCAATAGTTCGGCCGGGCCGGTATTCTCATACGGGTCATAAACTTCGTCGCCCTCATCGAGAGGATCTTCGAAGTAGCTTTTGAGATCCTCGATCTATATAAGTAGTAGTAGTAGACTTGAGTCAGTAATCTCTCTTCTCTCTTGAGGTCGTTGAAGAAAGGAACACACTCACGTCCTCTAATATAGCCATGAAATGTGTGCCCCCGACGTAATTCGTAGCATTCTCGCCCTGGACGATGACGCCCCCTGCACTCTGCTCCTGTCCTGTCCTCTTATCCGGACGACTTATCGGCATTGTACCTTCCGTATCGATCATGCCGCGAACCACTGTGATGGCATCTTAGTGACATATGTACACCATTTGGGATGAATTATTTCCAGATGTGACATCCCCAGTAGATGGCGAGCTGGGTAGTAAAAGAGATATACGACATAAAAAAGGGTTTTTTTTTTTAAAAAAAAAAAGAAAAGAAAAAAGATTTAATTGACAAAAAAAAAAAGGAAAAGGGGGAATAAGATGGTCAGGTTTGTGTAAACAAGCCCCTAAATAGTATAGTATAGTATATAATAAATAGTAATAAGTACAATACTTACTCCCCTCGAGTCTCTTCAGACGTGCAGCCATGCTCTTAGCGGGCTTCTGCTTCTCGGGTTTCGGGGCGTAGAGGCAGCCTTCCGGCTTACCCTTTCGAATGCACTGGCCGCACGGCGTGGTACGGTCGCACTTAAGCTTAGAGTTGCGGCATGGCGCGCAGCTAAGCAGCACTCGCGTCCGCTTCGCGTGACCGTTACCGCTACCGATCCCACTACTACCGCTCCCGCTTGCTTCTACGGCGCCCGCTACTGATGTGCCGTTGGGGTTACCGGGTAGCATGTTGCTGAGCGGTAATTCTATATCCGGTATAAGGGTGGTTTGCTAGTACCTAATATAATATAACCAGTTTAGGAAGTATCTTTTGCTGTACGTAAGATGATTAGGTAGGTACCTAACGAAGGAAATTCAAAAGTTGAAAATCTCGCGATTCCGAGGTTACCTGGTAGCTTTGGGTTGATTACGATCCGGGGAATTTTGACCAACAAAGCAGCAGCAGGAGCAGCAGGGGGGCTAGGTGGGTAAACCGTCCGCGTTTACGGGCTTCGCATCCCCGGAGCGAATGAATGTTGTGGTTCTGGTTCTGGTTCTCGGGGGGGGGGGGGGGGGGGGGGGGGGGGGGGGGGGGGGGGGGGGGGGGCGCGGGGGCGGGGGGGGGGGGGGGGGCGCCGCAG